GGGTTTACACGGATCCGTTCCCTACCCTCTATTGATGAAACATGAAACATGACAGCAATTCCCGGAACATTTGTTCCTGTGCTGCTTGCATGCAGTGGTGGGCGGTATTCCGTAGTGATTAGCAGAGTCCACCACTAGTTGTAACTTCCGCCAATCACATCAGGAAAATAGGTCTTCTAACACTAACCTAACAAAAGAATTTTGCTCTAGTGCAACGCTAGGACATTGCTATCAGGGCCACATGTTTAGTCCGGCTTATTTGTGAACTAGCTAGCTAGTCCAGCTGGACTAATGGAATTTTTTGCCTCCAGCGTAAATCGAAGAATTACCTGCTTTCAATGGTTCCGATTTTATCGGAACACATCACCCACTGGTGAAGATTGTTATTAACACAATGTATAGGGTCCTTACGGATTATTTTATTTCTATAAAGACAGGATCGAATATCAATTTAGATCTTAGAGTTTATATTACAAATTTATGTTCTTAACCTACTCTGTGAACTGGAACATTTGTTTTTGCGCCTGAAGCCAGTGAGACAATTTAATCAGTCTGCAGCTGCTGAAGAGGTTGAGTTTGGCACATACAGACAAACACACTCTAGGGAAACTTCATCTGTGTACTTCTCCAACTATGTAAAACCCGACAGAGTTGTCAAATACTACAAGAAGCACGCGTATAGAGACGTAGAAGCATAACGAGCTAATGACATATCATATTTGTTTATGTTAAGAAATGAGTAAATAATAGAAAGGAAGGGATATCTTTACAATAGATTAACAAGGCACTGTACAAAAGATCCGTTTTGGAGTGAGGGGTGGTAACAAAATAATAGGTAAATACCGGTGGGGAGTGTAGAGCTGTCAGCAACTGCGGCTGAGGACCTTGGAGGTGCTGACCATAAAAGACGTAGAAGACGGTTGGCTAACGGTACCAAGGAGGGGCTGTCAGCGGTACGGAGAGAAGGAATACTGGTCATCTTCATCGACAACCGATTATACCATTCTCATCCGGGATCCGCGCGAGGAGCAACCTTGGCCACTCGAACAACTCTGTCGGCTTTATGGTTTCTTACAAGCTTTATGATTTCCCGGGCTTCACTTAGAATATGAGCACTTAGTCTCGCCGAATTAACGTCTGAAGATATACCACATTTTGAACACTTTGTTGGTAGAAGTGTACGCGAGAAGAATTGATGTGGGGGAAATAGTATCAAAGTATTTATATGTTGCGGAATGTGCTAATTTTGATGAAGATCATAGAAAACGCACAGGATTGAATAACGACCACAGACAATCAAATCTCTGAGCACATCGGAAAATCCAATCTCTCATTTTTATCGGTTATCCTTTGCTAATTACCCTATTTACACTTGAATGTTATACCTCGATTGACCTCGCCTCTTTGGGCCTCAATCCATATGTAAGTGGTTTTGATTTTACCTGATCCAAATAGTTATCTAGGAGTCGTGCTGAATTTAGTATCTGGATACACTTACGACGCACACTTGTTTATCATTCGAATCAGGAAGTTACTGAATTGACAAGTTTTTTGTTCCTTCTTAGGTCCTTCTTAATAAAGCTTTGGTGGAGTTCATTCATCTCTTCAACACAACCCGGTCAGATGACTACCTCTGCCAGCTGCAAAATGTTGCTACACTTGTTGGTGCACCCATCACTGAAACGTCCGACAGCAAACGTACGGAACCCGCGATCTCGCAACCGCCAGCAGATGAGTCCGGGGCTTCTCTGCAGCCTGCAAACCCTTCTGTTTCTCCGGTCGCAATGATCTCACACTACAACTATTCCCTCGTTCTCTTCTACCAACGTCAGTATTCCCAATCTGAGCGCCTACTTGCGGGTCTTCTCGGACTAGAGGCTTTCTCCAAACCAACTGCGAACACTCTGACAACGAAGCTTATCTCCTCTATCCAGTTCCCTACATCTGCTGGTTCTCTGCTATGCCAACGAATAATCCTCTTATGGCTCGAAGTTTCGCTGTACTTGCAGCGGGCTCAGCGCGTTTTTGAAGTTACAAGTACGTTAAAAAAAACCTGTGCGGTTGGCTTCCGTGCCCATCCCCTTCATGCTCTCAAATTTATAGAGTACTTAAAATAACTTAACGCTTGTCTCTTTTCGAGAAAAAAGTCCCAGCAGGCTGTCCTTGCATCTGTATGTCATGTACATATGGCCTGACCAGTTCTGATTTGGCCGGATGATAAAAGCGGGAGTTATCTAAAGAAGCTGCTGTATGTAGGCTTACTTCGACTTTTTTACGTTGTTACTTGCAGGTGACATTAACCA